CTGCTTTTGGATTTTATTTATTATTATTGTTATTTTAAAGTAATAAAATTGTCAATATAACTTTCATAAATTAATTATTTTGTTATTGTACCATATTAAATAATTTTAATATTTTTTTGGCAGAAAAATCTATGTTGTCTATGTGATGTATTACAATATAATTGATTAAAGTTTAACCAGTCTCTATATTAATTAATTCTTTAATAAAGTTCATTATTTCTTTATGATTACATAATGTATTCATAAAGACTTTAAATTCTAAAGATTATAAAAAAAATTCAATTATCAATTATTTAGTTTCAATATTATAGAATGAAAAGTGTGATAATAATAAATTTAATACTTCTTTTTCTAAATTCAACTCTTATTTTAAGACCAAACTTGATAACTAATCTAAATAAATATAAATATTATACATTAATTAATACTTAAAATGTTTATTAACGACAAATTAAATTATTACTTAATTCAAATAAAATATAATTTATTTTATTAAATAAAGATTTTATAGCACTATATTCTTTAGTTTTTTATTATTATTATGAATTTTTAGCTTATTAAAGTTCTAATAATTTATATTCATAATTAATTTAATGAACTTGTACTTTTACTAAAATATCCATTAATGGACCTAATAATTAATCATCTAAAGTGTTTTAATTAATCATTTCAATAATTACACCATAAATTATTTTAAAAATAACCTATAAAATAGTATCTTCATTCTCCATCTTTAAAGCAAATTAACTTTACATAACATCTAATAATGATTCCTTTTATGCTGTTTAATTACCTTATCTAATATCTGTTAATAACTCTAAAATTAATGTATTTTATGGCTTTCTAACTATAAAACCTAACATAACTACTAAATCATTTATTGTTTTTAAAGTTAGATGATTTAATATCAAAATAATTTCGTTTTTTAAAATTTATAATTTTTCACTTGAAGCATTCTTTTTATCTCTAATTATCATCTATATAGGTAGGATTTGATCATTACTAAATTACATTTAAAAAAAAGGATTATACATAAGGAATAATATACATTTAATTAAAATCTTTCTAGTTTAATTATATATTAATTGATCTCCTTTATTATCTTCATAAGATATCAATTAGACTTATAAAATATAATACAAAATCTGTACTTAATCTTTAAAATAAGTAAATAATTCTTCATTATTTTATAATTATTCAAATAAATAAGAGTAAAGATATAAGAGAATATCATATTAACAATATTACCAAAATTCAAATTCATGATATATACACATACAATCTTATTTTAATACTTAAATTATTTAACATTATAATAAAGAATTATAGAAATTAAGTATTTACTATAATAATTAAATTGAACATCCTTATGTTTTCATATGAACTGTTAATAAATATCCTAAGACTTTAATACCTTTATATTAAGAATCAGATCTCAAATAATTTTAGATTGAATTATCATCACCAAATTTTTAAATTATTGTATTAAGTAATTACAAAACACTAATAACACATTAAGGATCATTCAAAATATGTAATGGGAAAAAAAGTATATCTAAATTACCATAAGATTTCATAACATCAAGCAAAGTTGTATTTTCTAAAAATAATACATTTTTAGAATTTTAATTAGAAACATCTAATGAATTTAAACTTTTCCTTTATTAAAATAATTTTCCCATTAATTTCGATATTGTTGTTTATTTTTATCTTCTTCCCCTTAACATTAAATATTAACAATTTTCAATAAAGACTTAATTATTTTAATGTAATAGTCCATCAAATTATATGTCTTGTTTTTAAGATTGAGTATTTAAATATAATAAAATTCTACCTTTAATTTACATTTTAAGTAATTATGAAAATAATACAGAATTATTTTAAGATTTTTTCTCTAAAATATACATATCTTCAGCATTTATATTTTAATCTAAAATATAAAGCAATCTCATTTCACCTCTAAAAGAATCACTAAGAGATTCATAATCATTTAATTTTGCACCAACAGCAAAGAAATTTAAAACTGGTATTTAAAAATTATCAAATTAATCTGCTTATCTAGCCAAAACATCATTCCCATTAATATTTACTTAAAAAGTTTTATTTTAATTGAAATTAATTACAATAAAATTTTCTTAATATTTTAAAGAATATTTTGCTGTTTTCAATATATTCTACTATTTATATCTAATACTAAGTAATTATGGATCTTCAATAGCAACTGAAAAGCTTATTTCTTAATTTCCCCAATTTAAGAGAGTTGATTATTTTAATTATCCTTTAAATTAAATGATAATAGAGAAAACATTATTTTAGGTTTCAAATTGCATTTTACCCTTTACTATGATACCACTTTCATGTCCAGTAAAATAATAATATTAATCATTTTAAATTGATATCACTTTATTTAAACAATATAATAAGAGAGTGGAATTTTTTAAGAAAAGATCTTTGTTAGCAATTTATTCTTAAATATAATTTTATTATTAATTTGAACCACATTCTATAGATTATGGAGGGACACCTAAAATAGAAGCAATCTTTCTATATTAAATTAGTTTTTATTTATCATCAATATGTGGTATCATAATTAAAGATTAATATGGTGACATAAATTATGCAATTGCTTATAAATATTATAAAGAAAATCTGACTTTTATACAATTTATTAATGTTTGTATGATTAATTCTTAATAAACACTTTCTATCCTTAAAAAAAATATGAGTCTTTCAACTAATTAACTTTTCATAATTATTAACACATTTTCAAGATTTTATGTTAATAATAATAATTATTATAAATAAAATTGTTTCTAATTAACTTCAACATTTTATTCAAATAGCAAAATAGTCAATAATTCTAAAAAATATGGTACTTGAATTGAAATTTATTAAATATCATAATTATCTTCAAAAATTCCATTTGATATACTAAATAATAATTTAAATAATGATTAACAATTCTCATTTGTTATACATATTTTAAGATAAGATAATAATTATTTATTCTCTAATTCTTCTTATTTAATTTCTCTATCTGTCCAAATACATATAGCAGTTACTTTTAAGGCTTCCATTAAATGTTCAAAATCATATTTATATTAAATTAAATCAAATATATTTAAACATTTGAAATTTTTTAATTTGAATTCTTAAATATGATTATTTGTTAAATGAGGAATTGCTCCATCTATATATAATATCCAGATAGCCTTTAGTGTATGTATTGAATTATATTAGACTAACTATTAAATAACTTTCTAAATTAAAGATATTGATTCATACTTATTGATTCTCTATAATATTGAAATTATGCATAAGTCCATTAATTACTGAAACATCATCAAATATATCTAAACACTCTATATTTTCATAAAATTATGGATTTTTTTTATATACTTCTATTTTGAATTCTTAATCAAATGATTAAATTTAATCTAAAAATTAAAACACTTCTACATCTACAATATATTCTGTTTTAAATGCTTCTTATAAAAAATATTTTCTTATTTATGTTAATTATTCTTATGTTAATTTATTTTTCATATTTCTTATTACAATTCTTAATAAACCAATTTCAATTAAACAAAATATGTATTATTCTAAACACTCTTTGTGTGGTGTAAGTATTAATTTCTTTAAAATATCTTCTAATTTTGTTGAATATTGAATAGGAATACTTTAATAAGAAATTGGACAAGGTACTTCTTCCAAATCAAGCATCCTTATATAAATAGAAATTTAAATAAGTTTATAATAGGGATGAATAATGTTTGTAGGCATCAATTTATAAAATGTTTTGAAATCATATAATGTCCATACAAAATCTTCATTAAAAGATTACTCATGTTGTTCTAATAATTCTATATTTTATTTAATGTAATAGTCAATGAATATTTGAGGTACTTATGGATGGATAGATTTCCTTAAAAATAGATGAATCTTAGGAGATAATTAAATCCAACCATCTAAATTATATTTATGTAAAAGTATGATCATTTCAATATTCATTATTTATTGACAAATTTAAGTCAATGCTAATTATTCATATTCTGTCATCTCAATTTCATCTGATTACTCTATTATTTTCAAGAACTTATTAATGATATTCTAATCCAATTCATATCCATTCATTATTAAGTAAATTCCACTAATCCAAGTAGATCTTTAATGTAGATCATTCAAAATACTTAGAGCAATTTCATATTCTTACCCCTCTATTGCATCATATAATTAGTATTGATTTGTTTTTAAGTTATTTTTCATCATTTCAACATGATAATGAGGTACCAATTATAACATTAATTATTTATGTTAAATTATATTAAAACAAAATTTGATTTTTATTCATTTATTTTTCAAACATCTTATTATTAAGAATTATCAATTAAACATTAATTCTATATATTAATTTCTTATTATTTATATAAAAGAATTTATACCCTTTATCTTAATTAATATTTATTATGATTTTTAATAATAATAATAAGTATCAAATTTATAATCTTATGTAAAAAATATATAATTATTAGTATAAAGATCTTAAAATATAATAAAAAAATCTAATAATATCATTAGACTTATTAATCATTTTATAAATTAATTAAAAAATCAAAATTATTAATTAAAATATAAATACAAATAATAATAGATAAATCCTTTCCTTTTATAAAGAATATACTTCATGTAATAAGTTTAATTAAATTAATAGTTAAATCTTATTATAAATAATGATAATTTATTATAATTTTTTTTTGATAATTATAATCTCTAAAATATATTATAGTAATTATTTAGAATAATTATAATATTGATTAACTGAATTTTTATGTTGAATATTATTATAATACATGGATATTTAGATATTGATCGTAATTTTTATATAAAAGTTGATATGTGTAGATATCAAAACAATTTTATAATGTTTTATATTCACTTTGAAGTAAAAAATTGTTTATTATTCATAATTGATCATATATTTTATTTATTTTAATTTATAAATGGAAGAGACTAAATTTCATTAATTCAAGAATACATTCATTTAAAAGAATCCAAATTAAAATTCTGAAAGGCTTATTAAGATCAATACTTAATATTCCCAATATCAATCTTAAAGTTAGAGAATCAAAACTGAAATCAATTAACCATCTTTAAGTTCAAGATTAGAAAAATCTAAAACTATTTCTTAGTCTGTACTAATTTAATGATTATTCAAGACATACTATTAGTCACCTCTATTGAGAGATGGACAGCTAGATTAAATTGACAAATTAAAGAGAATGGATAAAAATGATTTTTTTGGTTAACTGAATAGTTAAGATCCATACAGATACCCTAAAAAATTAGAGGAATTACCATGGAATCCATCAAAAAGTACAATATATTAATAGAAAAGATAGAGATCTCTTAAGCTAAGGTTGTTTTACCAACAGAACAAATAGATAAGGTCATTCCATTATCTAAATTTTCCAGTAATCTTACAAAAAGAGTAGTCAAAGATAAGATTCATAGAGGCATACCTCTTAAGTATTAGATATATTGAATAATTAGACATGATGTATAAATGCTTGCAGAATGGACTGACTTAATGCTTGAGTAGGCAGTAGAGAAAAATTAAGGTTAATCAGCTAATATGTATGAAGATTTATAATAAATATTTACACTTTGTTTGAAAGAATTGATTAGACAAATTTCATTTGATTGTATTGAGAAGAGGTAGAATATATTAATATAAAAAAATAGTGTACTTTTGGAGAAGATTTGGAATTAATATATTGAAATAAATTAATCAGTATATTAATCAGTTCTGGAATAAAATAATACATTAGAGAAAGATCATTTATAAGCAGTTATGAAGACTCATTAGGCTTATTAAAGTGAGATTGATAAATATTTGATGATTTTGAAGAATCAAAAGTCTGATATGGATTAAATTATGGAAAGATTAATGAAATTAAAAGGAAATACAAAATATTTGAAAAAAAATAATAGATATTTGAATTCTTAAATAAAAGCATTGAAGATAGAAATCTAAGATTTGAAAACTGAAAATAAATAATATTCTGATTAAATAGAAAAGATTACAGATGATTTACATGAATATTAAAGGAATGTACAACTTTAATATGAATAATTTTAAATGTCTAATTAATATTAACCTAAAATTGAGTATGAATAAGGAATAGCAAAGAAAAAGATTATGAGGGCTGGTACATAGAAATAATTAGTGATTCATTAAATACCACAATATTAATTACCTGAGATTAAACCAATATAGAGAAAGAGTTTTTAGAATATAGAAAAATAACCTACATAATAAGAGAAATTATAAAAAATATTAAATGATAGTGCTTCATTTAGCAATATAGAAATATTATTAGAAGAGAGAGCAACAGATACAGATGATTTAAATTAAATATTACAATTAAGAAAAGAAGTAGAGATTTAAACTATTGAAAAGAAAAGTTTATCAATATAAATTCCTAAGTATTTAATTGAATAATTGTGTGTAGATTTGAATTAAGAGATAGAAGATAATAAATTATTTAGACAGAAATATCTTATTTAAATAAATCAACTAAGATAACTCAAACAGAATTTACAGATGAACTATTAGAATCTATCAAATTAGAGGAAGAACATTTATAGTAATTACATGAAGCAATCTAATAAGCTACATAACAATATTAATAAATATTAAATTAAATAGAAAAGGGATAATAACCTAAATTAAAAGAGTTATATGATCATTTAGATGAATTTTAGAATACAATGAAAGAAAACTTAAATAAATAAAAGGAAGCTAGAACAAATTTAATTTTAGTTAATAGTACATTTAAAGATGAAAATAATAGAAAGGAAGAGTAATTATAATAATATGTACTTATATCTTATTTTATTAAGTAAAAAAAAGTAGCAGAATTAGAGAGAGCAAATGAACTAGCTAATTAAGAAATGGGTGAATTAGAAGCTCAATTAGAAATTTATGAAAAGGTATTAAATTTATTTATAAAAGATAAATGAGAAAATTGAAAAAAAATATTAAAAATTAAAATCTATTAAAACAAATATGGTTGAAAAATCATAAACTCTTGTTGTCTAACTTACATAAACTCATAAATTTGCTGAAATCATGAAAAAAAGAATTTAAGATAAAAGATAAAGTACATTAGGTCCTATTTAAAGTAATTAAAAATCAAGATTATCAAACATATCACCTTTAGGAGCATTAATTCCATAATCAACTAGTTAACCTTTAATTTCAATTCAACCTATACAAAGTGAACAATTAATTTAATTGGAAAAGAAAGAGGAATTATTGCCTATACCAGAGAAAACAAGTTTAAAGAAATAATCAAGTAAAAAGAATTTAATTTAATAACCATAATAATAATAAGCTATGTAATATCGATAAACTTAATCCTAAAATACTTTAGAATTACCTACATTATAATAAGATAAATCATTCACTTCTCAATATAATATCTCTGTAATTGAACCTGATGATAATTAATTTGCATCATAGAGATTTTCATCATAATAACCTAGTCAATAGTAAAGTGAAGAAGTATTTCAAATTGAATATAATAATAGGAAGCCTCAGATATGTAATTGACACCAAGAAGTAAAGCATCTAATTAGTCAAAACCAAGACCTACCTATAAAATTGTATATAATTTTATAATATTACTAAATAGTAAATACCATAAAATCAAGGTGCCAAGAAAGGATCCAAAATATAAAAGAAAGGTTCTGTTATGCCTTAATAAAATGATTAAGTTTAATTCTTTTAAGAAACTATAACAAACTTTATCAATCAGAATTTCACTTCTAGTGACTCTGATAGTGATGATTCAGAGTATAACATAAGATTAGAAGAGATTAAATAAAGGAAAAGAAAGATAGGATAAACTAAGAAATCATATTTTTCATAAGCACCAAGTAATATCTATTTTATATTTATAAGAATTCTAAAATAAATAATCTATTGACAGTCCTGGACTCAATATGTTAAAAAATAATATAGTTAAATAATTAGCTACTAAATTTGCAACAAATTAAAAGGAGATAACTTCAAAAATGAAAAAGAGTACAATATTAAAATTTATATCTTAATTTTATGGAGAAAAGTTAAAATAAACTTAAAATAAAACATCATTACATATTATTTGTTATGAATATTTTTTTAATACTTATGGATTTAAAAATATAGCAGAACAAAAATTAATTAGTTTTTATGAATCTATTTTTGTACACCGAGATAATATAAGAATTAATTTATTTGGTAGATTCTTACAACTTTATAGTTCATTATCAGTTGATGATCTTGAAATTTATATTAAAACTTTAAAGTAATTGGATGAAGAGAATCAAACATTAGATACAGATAAAGGATAATTTATTTTGGTTGAAAAAGCAATTCAAATTCTTGATCAAATACATTCTTAAATACCATAAGAATATAGAAATAATATAATCTCAGATATTAAAATGAATTATATTGAGAGAAATATGAAACCTTACATTGATTATGATTATTATATCAGTAGAATTTTAACTGGTAAATAGTATTTATATTATATTAGGATATTAGATTGTTAAGAAAATGCACATGACTCATTATTAGGAAGTATTCAATTCTGCTGATATGGATTTAGATAATATGATGGAATACTAAGAATTTAAGAAATTATATTATTATTTTGAATCTTGTTAAGGTAATTCAATCCCTGAGAGCATTATGGAAAGATAATTTATTTCCAGATGTGATTTGATATCCAATAATGAAGGAGAAAGAGCAATGTCTTTTGATAGATTCATTACATTTTCAATTGAGCATAACCTATTTTCAGAAGAAAAATTCACAGTAATTATATTGTATTCAAATTCATATAGAATTTTGCAAACAATGTTATTGAAGAAGATCCAATCAAAACTATTGAAGATTTGCATAATAATTGGAATAATGTTAAAGCAAGATTGATTAATAGAATTTAATATGCTGCAGAAGATGAAATTGAATATTTCCAAAGTATTATAAAAAAATTAGAATAAGTATAACATTCATTTTTTCATATTAGGCTTTGACTAATGATGATAAACGATAAAGTATATGGATTTCATATAAAATCATTGATAGTGATACAAGATAGTTATACATAAATAAGTTAGTAGATAGTCTCATACCATCAGAATTCAATGATATCATTCAATTTGATGATTATTCATCTGAAGACAATAATTGATTTTTATTATATTTTTATAACTAAGATAATTTATATAAATAAAAATCACTTAAGTTTTAATAATCTTTAAATGGCTTCATTAGTTTTTGAAGTATCTGTAATCATTTTATGTGGTCCTGTTTTATGATTTGAATTTATAGGGTTTTAAGAATTACTTCCTCCTTACTTAGAATTGTTACCCTAACTTTTATTTCTTTAGGAAGATTTTTATTTTTAGGCATAACAAATATCAAAAATTGCATTTATTGTGTTTTTTTTTATGTTCTATGAATTATTTGCAATTCCTCCCTTAATTAAAGATTGACTTGCCTAAATTATCTATGATCTTTAAGTGATAGATTAAGAATGTTATTTGAGTTTTTGGTTATATTTTGCATATAAATCCTATTCTTGGATACTACTACGACGTTGAATTTAATTATTAAATTTACCACATTTTTGATGTTGAGATTATGATTTCAAAGGTGGAGACTGTCTTATAGAATTCTAAAGATGTAGATTAGCAATTGATGCTGGATATTCACTACTATAGTCAACTCTTTTAAATCTGTGATCTGAATAACAAAGCTAATAAATTTAATTTAAATTACTTTTTATCTTTAATTCTTCCATTTACTTCACTATCTGTATGTAGTATGTGTTGATAATCTACTGACTCTCTTAATTATTCTTTCTCCTTAATCAATTATCGATAACTCTCAGTAGATTTTCCAAGATCTTTTTTTAAGGCCTAAATTTCAAATTAGGGCCATATACATCAATTTTTTTATTTAATTATTCTATTGTTTCTTTATGGGACTTATCTAGATCTTCTATCTCTTACAGCAAACTATCATTAAAAAGCTTAAGCTATTATTCAATCTATAAGGATTAAACATACTTTTGTTACACTAATATGTCCTCTTATCTCTGCTTCATACTTTTGTATAATTTGCTCCAGTTTATCATACTCTTCTCCTGCATGATAATTTTGATTAAAACTATTATCATTTAGATTAAATTTCAGAAAGGACATCTTTTTCTCAACCTTCCTCATCAAAGTCTTGAATACAGTACCAATAATTTAAACTAGTCCAGGCAATGTATCATAATCTTTTAATTGATTTTCAATTATCTTTAAGTCATTTTAGCCTTCCAAATAACCTTCCAAGTAGAATAATATCTTCTATTATTACGATATATTACATCTTCAAGTAAGGATTTTAATGGTGCTTCAATTAGAGAATCGTTGATCTAACTCATTCAAATAAATTCAGTTATACATTTTATAAACCATTTTAAGGCTATATACATATTATCTCTTTCTATATAATAAGGTTGAATGGAGTCTATAATAATTCCTGTTTTTTTAAATTAAAAAAATAGACTATTTTAAGAGGTACATGCTATTTTAGGAATTAATAATGGTTTAAAGTATTTGAAATGATGAAATAAATAAGAAATAAACTATACTAAATTAAATATTTATTATTTATTTATAAAAATGGCAATGGATAATAGCAAGTTTGAATAAATGAGCAAAAATTTCCCATCTCAATTAAAATTCAGATTGAATCCTGTATACTATGGTGCTAGAGTGGGAATCTAAGCTTATTTAGGTTTGCTTGTAGGAGGAAGTCTTTTGATTTACTTAAACACTTTCAATGGCATCACATTCCCATATCTATATAAAAAAGTACAATATAAGAGATGAGTAATTAGTAAAAAGTGGAATATTAAGCAGTGCCTGATTTTTATTCAAAGCAAGTGTTATTGTACCAAAGGACAGTCCCAAATACTGTAACATAATTATGAGAACAATTACATAAATAAATAAGATATGCATAATAATTTCAGTCTTAAATTTCTTAATAAAGCTTGACAATAACAAAATCTTCTATTACCTCTTGTTTGTTAATCTGATTTTAGAGTTTCTTACTTTAATTTTATAATTTTACAGGAAGAATCAAATCATAATTATTAATCAAGACAGTCATATTTATAATATTTATATTCTTGATCAATAAGTAAATACTTAGGCATTACAATTTTTTATAAAAATAAAGGGTGACTAAAGATTTTTTTGTTTAATTTTCTCTGGATATCTATAATATAAAAAATATTATTGATTAAGTTAGACATCTATTTTTGAGATTTCTTTTTTATTTATATTTTATTTTAAAATGAATGATGAGTTAGTTAAGTTAAAAAAAGAAATCCTATAAGACACTGAATTGTAAGCTAAGAAATAAAGATTTGCATTATTTTCTTCTCCAGTCCCACTTGGATTAGGAGATGACAGTTATGATTTTAAAAAGAGACGTATATTTTATATTATTTATTTTATAGCTCCTAGAGGTGAGAATGGGAAACCCATCACTTAATTAACTAATGTTAAAATTGGAGCACCTAAAAGTGGAAGAATTAAGAGTTCTTATTTTAGTTAAGTTTCTTTCACTTCTATTGGTGATCCTTATACTGATCCATAAAGAAAAGATTTATAATATGAATTAGAAAAGACTAAAAAGATTTTATTTAAAGATTAACCATTCAAGCCTGCATCTGGGTATAAAGAATTACTTGGAGGACCTTGGCCTCATATAAAAGAGTTTGATATGAAAAGGACTAGAAACTATAAAACTGCTGATGGTAGAGTATGGTCAGCTCCTCGTAATATAACAACAAATCCTGCCAACAAAGATTTATCAAAGGGATACCCACATTTAAAAGATGAATATGAAAGATTTCACTAATATTAATTGGTATATATATTGTTTCTATCATAGAAATTATAAATGGAAGCTAAAAGAAGGGAAAAGGAAGTAGCTTTTAAGACAACTACAGCAGGAGGAGAGAATTTTAATAAAGACAAATAAGTTTTTGGATTTGATGGAAAAGCACCTCCTCCAAACAAACTAAAGCCTCATGATATGCATATAATGAAACATGAATAAAATTTCAAACCTGCTAATCCAGGTAAATAAGGTTTTGAAGGAGAATTTGAATAAATTACTTATAAACCTGATCCAATAAAACCATCAAAAAGAAAAGAATGGCCTAAAGGAAAAGAATAATTCAAGCCTAACAATTTAGGTTCATTAACAAGACCAACCCCATCTATAACATGTTTCAAATAGAATATTAGAAGAGCTATGAGTGCCAAAGGATTCTGAAAATACAACAAATAAAAATATTATAACTATTGAAAAATATATATAAACTGTTTTATACTACTATTTATAATTACAATTCTTAATTATAATCAACATTCTAAACTTAAATTATTTAGATAAAATTAATATTTTAATCTTTAAGATTCATTAATAATATATATATTGTTATTACTATATCATTAGAGGTGATAAATATAAAATCATTATTTATATATATTTGATAAAAAATAAAAATTACTTGAAATTAAATTTATTAAAATGTTTTAGAAATAAATAATTAAATCAATAATTATCAAATAATGGATTAATTTTTATATATATGTCAAAAAGCATAAAATTCATTATTTATAAATATAATTCAAAGATATTTTGATTTCTTAATTCATTCTCCATCATTAAACTCAAAAAAATTCTTTGCTTATATATCTATATATATTTACAGAAAATGATTAATAAGGGAATTCTCAGAAATAATGATGCCACTCACTCCAAAATTTTATTAATATATATATATTAAGTTAACAGCACTTAGATGGATAGTATTTTATATTATTGTTTTTTGGATTGAATTTTAGCCAATTCCATAATATTAAATTATTATTAAAATGAACGTTGCTGAAATAGGCGAACTAAAAAAGTAGATTAATTATTATATAAGTTTAGGTAATTGACTAAGGCATTAACTGAAAATGCTCATTTGATGCAAAAAAATCAATTATTAGAATTAAAGTTAAAAGAGACAGATGAGAGAAATTGCAATATACAAAAAATGAATGGAACTATTATGCATGTTTTAAATGATTTGAATGTATAAAATAATAGACCATCCACTGAGATTTTAAAATAATAGGATTAATTCAATATGAAATTGATGTAATATCAAAAGAGAATTGAGTCTTATGAAACTTAAATTAAGAATTTATAGACTCAATTATAAGAAGCACTTATTTCTAAGAATGAATAAAATCAAAGAATTACTTAATTATAAGAACATAATTCATAATTGCTTAAATAGATAGGAGCATTAGAATCATCTGTTAAAACATTGACTGGATAATTATAGTTGTAAAGTAAATAAACATAAGAATTTTCTTAATAATTGGAAGATGTTGAATTTGAAAGTCAGAAATAGAAATTTTCATAAAGTGTCAAAATAGAAGAATTAAATGAAGAGAATATGAAATTAAAAGAAGAATTAAAATCTCTTATGGGATAATATTTAAGAAAAACATCATCTTCTATGTAATCTAGTGTACCAGCTTCACCTTAAAATGTTAGATTATAACCATAAGCTCCATAAACAAGTACAACTCCAATTTCTAAAAAGTAAACACCTAAAAAGAGAACAACAACTATCTCTTAATGGAAGAAATGATATTAAACTTTTATTATGAAATATAAATTATTGTATAAATTAAAAAAATAATGGCAACTTTTTAATAAAAGTATGAATCATTGAAATAAGAATTTAATGAACTAGATATCAATGATGATGGTAGATTAGATAAAAATGAGATGTTCTAAGTTTTAGATTCTAAGGTATAATTTGTTTAATTTCTGTGTTGATTAGATTGGTAAATAATTTGATCGAGAGATTGCTGAAGAATTATGGTCTAATTTAGATATTAATCATGATGGGAAAGTAACAGTAAATGAATTTATTCAAATACTTTTAAAAGCAGAAGACAGTTTGAAAAGTAAAATAAACAATTGCAGAACTACTTTAGAATTAAACTATTAACAGAAAAGAGAAACAGAAACTAATTTAGATTATTGTTAATAAAATGAAAAATTGAATAATTTTGGTGTAATGGAAGGCAGTTAATTATGTGTTATTGTGATTCAAGCTGCAAATCTTAAAGCAGATGGTAAATAATTAGATCCATTTATCACATTACAATTTGATAAATTTGAAAAGCAAACAACTATTAATAAAGGTCCTAATCCTATTTGGAAAGAGACTTAAAAGTTTTATTTTCCTGTTTAAACTGGGAAAGAAGACTTAAAATTAACAGTTTGTGATTTTGATAAATATACTCCTAATATAGTGATTGCAAGGGTTGATTTAAATTTATCTAACAATGGTTTCAATTTGAAGAATTAACAATTACATGATATATGGTTAGATTTATATGATATCAATGGGAATAGAAGTGGATCTCAATTAAATATTCAAATTTAATGGGTCTATTCTAAGGTCAAATATCTTAGAGATGTACTTAACTCTTACTAATAATAAGTGAATTAATAAGAATAAGAATTATTATAATATGAGAGAGATCTCTTTATACTTTATGAACCATTTGTTAAATGGAGATAACTCAATACTAAAGGATATTAAAAACCTATTACTTAAGAACCTGCATCCATGATTCCAATTTCATATTAATAAGCAGATCCTACTAAAATAATAAAGCCTTTTTCTGATCCTCTTTTAGATAAAAATAGCAAATTTAAATTAATTACTATATTAATTGGTTTCATAGCTTGTCTTACTTTACTAATATTATTTTACAAAGCTTAATTTTTTGATGTAATGAGTGTGTTGCTATTATTAGTTGCTTCTTATTATAGACTTTTATATACTCTGGGAATTTAATGCTTTAAATGAGAATCGTATTAAGACTTTAGGTATTTTGTTTGGAATGAGTTGTTTTTTGGATGTTGTATGGATCTTTTGTATTGGTGTGAAATGGCTTGGTAATGATTCTCATGAAATTTTCATACCTTATGAAATCTCCATTTAAAAAATGATCTCCATTTTAGTAATAATAAGTTTAATTGTGAGAGTAATTATGAATTTAAATTTTAGTTGTATCTAATACTAAACTTATTTTAATTATCTCAAGAATTGTAAAACCTTACCAATCCTTAAACAATCAAAATATAACATAAAAATATTGTAAAAATAGATATGTAAAATACACATAATATTGAATCTAAAACATACCTCCATAATGGACGACCAATTGTGATTTATTGAATATTATTATTAATTATTTTTATAATTGATATTCATTTATGGGATGCTAAATTGGAAAGACCAATCAAATTTAAATTAGATCTAAGTATAACAATCTTATAGGAATCAAATTTTAAGAAGCTATTGAAAGTAGCAACCCTTAATTAAAATATTTGTAAAATAAATGGAATCAATTTGAAATAAAAGACTTTACTGCTGCACTTAAATTTAAATAAAGTGATCCAACTAGATTTAGAAAGTATCTTATGAATGGAGCACTATCTTCTAATAGATGGCCTTTATGGAAAGTATCTTTATTTGTTGATAACATATTTGAATCAGGGTGTTATGAAGCCTTGTTAAAGAGTTCATAAAATTAATTTGATAGTGATATTGAAAAAGACCTACCCAGAACTCTACCAGGTCATCAAGAATTTCATAAAAAATCTTAAGCATTATAAAATGTACTCAAAGCTATTGCTGTTTATAATAATGATTATGTTACAGGCATGAATTAAGTGGCTGGATTCTTATTATTAGTATGTGGAATGGAGGAAGAGGAAGCCTTTTGGATGCTAAATTATTTGAATATCAATCCATAATTCAAATTTCATTAATTATATCAAACGAGTGATTCATAGAGTATAATGTAATTTAGTTATTAGATTAAAGGAATCAATTTGAATTTGTTGAAAAATTATTAAACATATTCCATAAGCATTTCAAAAATCAAATGCCATAATTGTATCAACATTTTGAAGCTTAAGATATAACTCAATATTGTTATATATGGAAATGGATATTTTCACTATTTCTTCAAACATTCCCTTTTGAAGTGGTGCTCTATTTCTTTGATTTTATGATTGCTAACAATATTTTAGCAATTATTTCATTATCTCTTGCTTTACTAAAACACTTTCAATCTCATCTACTTAAATTAGATTAATACTAAATTGCTTAATTTATCACTCAACTTTCAGAATGCTAAGATGTCTTTGATAAATCAAAACATTCAAATCATTTATGTGTTGAATAAATCATAATTTATGCTTCCTAATTTCAAGAACAATTAGGATTTTCAAGATTAGAGGAAACTTTATAATGAATTTAAAAACATATTATTTAAATTACTTAATTAGTAAAAATAATCATAATTATGTTTCTCCCAAAGATGGTTAAACATAAGAATTCCAATCTTTAGGTTTCAAATCAACACTCTATTCACCTTAATCCAACCATTTTATCCTTTTACCATTATCCCACATTCCTAACTAACTCTTTCCATTAGGTAAAATGTATCTACCTTTTCCTTATTATTTCCCATTAGACCAATATCCTTCATATTTCTAATAAAACTCCATTAAAATATATACCCTTCCATCTGGCCATGTGTATATACCATAACCATGTTTCTTATCATTTACATATTACCCTTCATATTTTCTTCCATCTTTCCAATAATATATTCCACGACCACTCATTTAATTATTAGCCCATTATCCTTCGTATCTCTAAATTAAATAAGTTTCATTACTCTCCCATCAGGCCAAGTATACACACCATAACCAGACAATTTATTTTCACTCCAATTTCCAATATATATTGATCCATCTCCCCAATAATACTTCCCAAATCCTTCTTTTTTACCATGTTAATATATTCCCTCAAATCTTGCTTGATCAGCCCAAGTTTCAACTCCATAACCATGTTATAAATCATCCATCCAATCTCCTTCATACTTTGCTCCATTTGTATGATAATAAACACCTTTTCCACATGCTTTATCATCTTTCCACTCTCCTTCAAAATAATCTCCATCTATATGCCAAAATTTCCCTCTTCCATTAGCTCTATTGTTTTTCCATTCTCCCTCATATTTTGCACCATCACTCCAAATTTGAACTCCATATCCATCTCTATTCTAACCAACCCATTCTCCATCATAAAATGCCCCACTCTATAAAATTAATATTTTTCAACATCACATACTTTAAATAAATGACGAGGTCTCTTTTCTCTAACAGTATTTTCAGATTTATTAATTTAAGTATCATTTAGATCTTCCAAATTTCTTAACATCATCTCATTTTTTCTCTTCTTACTATCTGCATTTGACTCTTATTTAACAATCTTTTTCATAAATACCATTAGTCATAATCACTTGAACTTATGGAGTTTCTACTTGTTAGGCCCTTATAGGTTCTGCATATACAATAGCATCATTCTTTTAAGGAGCATCCAAATTTAAATATTGCTATACGATCTAACTTGAACCTTCATGGTTCTTCTCCTCAAGATCTAAAATATTGTTAGATCAATATACGATCTTCCTCTTCCTCTTCATTTGGTTATTAAGAGTATTAATTCATTTGTGGGTTCGATTATTGTTATACCTCACTGATCAGGATCTCCTCCTTTTTCTAACAATTTTAACAGGTTGCACAATTGCTTCCCATACTATTCTTAATAATATTAATCGATTAAATGAATTCGAATTCAAAATCTCTTTCTAATTCGATTAAAAAGGATCTCTATTTATAGGCATGTAAATTAAAGGAAAACCCAATAGATTGCATAACTGAAATCAAAACTTAATTAATCAATAGACTATCTTAAAAAATTATATGTTGTTTAATATGTTGAACTATAAAGAGAATGGTTACAAAAACTATTTCAAGCATGAAAACTTCAAACAGTTAAAACATATGATGTTTATCAAGTGGCCAATTTTATAGAAAATAAGTGAATTAAATTATTAGTTTTAATATTTATTCAATGGCATGCATATATTGAATAAATCCAGATAAGATAAGTAATGCTATTCAGATTTAAGACTAAAAGAGAAAAAAGAATTAAATGTTAATAAATAAAAGCCTTGGAATTCTGTTGTTTTCAATTTACAATAGAAGTAATTATGGAAATATGATGCTTAATAATTATATACTAAAAACACAAAAAGACTTATTTTCATTAATAGGGGTTGGTTTATTTAAAGAACATAAATGATATAATATATATTAGCAAATGAAGAATTGATTCAAAGATAAAAACTGAAATTCTATTAAAAATATTATTCAATTATGAAGTTTAAACTATATTAAACAGAACATTACTTAGAAAAATACAAAATAAATTAATAAAATCTAATATAAGATTAATTAAAGAAAGTCAGTTAACGAATTTATTAAAAAGAGAAATCAAATACTTATGTGTGTGTGAAACATTTAATTTCTTAAATACTAAAACCGAAAAGCATATGATATATAGGTAATAAAAAAATTGTCTTATTATTGGAGATGGAAAATACTTATGCAAAAATCTTTAAATACATACTCTCATATAAGGACTATAATAAAGCAAACGATATTTAAAGGCATTAAGAAAAGTTAATCTGTTGAAATTAGTCATATAAAATCTTAGAGATACTAAGAATTTGATTTAGAAGTAAAACTATACAGAAAAGTACCTAAATAAGAACAAATTGAAATAATTATTCTATTATTTATAAAATTATACATAAAAGCAAAAATATAAAAGATACTCCTTAGAATTTGTATAATTATTTAGAAGTAAATCATTATTGAGATAGTTATTTTCCCACTTATAATTATAGAATAAAAAAAAGAGATATGAATGAAAAAATGATTCAAGTACATTTAGTAAAATTTTGTAAGAATTTTTAAAATAATGGAAGGAATATAATAAGTAAATTCATGGAAGTAATATAATAAGTAATTTCATCATGAAAAGTTTTTCAAATAATAAATAGAATTTAGTAATTAATATAGAATAAAAAAACAAATATTCAAAATTATGTCTATTAATCATTGAAGATTCTAAATTATGATTTTATTATTTATCAAAAATAATTGGGTGTGCTTATGATAATTATAGATCTCTTAATGTCTATTCCTTAATTCAATTGAAATATTATTTTTTCATATTCAATAAGACCTACATTTCTTCTAAAAACACATTTATAATTGATTAAAAAATAAAAAATAATATGAAATTTTATTTATTTTATGTGGGAATTTTATAAATTTAATTACCTTATTTTTGTTTATAATATTTAATCATATGATTAATTATTTATTTCACTTTTATCTACTCAAAATTGTTTATATTAATAAAGATAGTAAAGTTGATATTAATAATTGAATTAAAAAATTTTAATATTATCTTGTTTTTATTAATTCTGCTTTAAATTTATAATAAAAGATAATTAAGCAAAAGGATAAGCATAAATTTAAGTATAATTTAATTTGAACATAGAACTATTTTTTACTATATATTATTTTAAATATATTATCAATTAATTGCTAATAATCTCATTACTTTAAGCATGGTTCTAAAGTTTGATCTTAATTCTACATTCTGAATTTCTTCTATATAAAATTATAATTCTGGTGGAGTTATTTAATGCTATTGAATTAAAATTAATAAATTAGCATGACTAACAGTATTTTTAGACCATTTAGTTGATAACTTATCGCTCTTCTCATTACACTCCAAAAGAGCAACTTTATTTAATTAGAATTCTAAATTTCTCCATTAAAATTCATCATCCCCTTCAAAATCTTAATTAAAAGTAGGATTCTCAATAAATTGAATAATAATTTAATCTGATCCACATTTTTAATTCCATTTTGATTATTTGAACGAATAAACTACAACTTATATAAATAAGATATACCTCTTAATGTTTACATTAAATTTAATAATACTTGATTTTCAACTTCTGATCTTTTAAACACTGTTTATAAACAAATTGCATCCTCTTCTTAAGCTATCAAATTTATTCCAATATTTCTTAATTTCAATAATAATTCTATGATAGGCAATGGTTATTGAAAATGTTATTAGGCAAGACTAGTAGGTTTAACTAATTTTGATAATTTACTGTCTAATTCAATTCCAATATTAATATCTCTTTAAGCTATAATTAATCATTATGACATTATTACTTATTATATTTAGATAGACTTTATCAGGAGATAGAGAAGTTATTTTCCACGTTTTAAATGGAAAATCAGCAAATCTTAATGTGGACAACATAAAAGGGTATTGATTTTTTAATGAAAATGAAACTGATCGAGTGTCAATATTAACTTTTAAATCTTCAATTCCCTCTTAAGTCCATTAACCATTTTAATATGTTACTACAAACAATTTGCTAGCATCTTGTAAATAGTATTAATTGGATATTTAAAAGAAACAACTATATGATTAGAATCCTTAAGCTAATTTTAAAGGTTATAATTATGAATCAGTAAATGTAGGTTTGAGTATCCATCCATTAGTTTTTTTTGATAATTTTGGTAAATTAACACAACAATTTTAAAATATTCCACCAATAGGTAAATATTATGTGTATTATTTATATTACACATAAGGATCATGATTAGTCCATGTAATATAATAAATTAAACTTTGTCCTGCCAATTATCTTGGTATTTCAATTTAAAGATTAGATATTTAAGAAAAATCAATGGGCTTTATTCTATATCCAATCTTTGATAAGGGACAATACCAAAAGGCTGCTTTAAATGAATTTGTAAATTCTGAATATTTTAAGATTTCATATTTAACTCTATCTTCTGGCTTTTAGGCAATTTTTTATAAAATCCTTTATTACGTTTCTTGATTAAATTCTAACATAAAGTATTAATGTTTCACTTATATATAGAGGATATATTAATACAGATGTGATTTAATTCTTCCAAGTAATTCTCGTAATGAATATAAAAGTGTTTTATGATTTCATATATTTTAGTACTTATAATTGATTTTAATTTTTCAATATATCTAAAATAATGGTCCTACTTGTTATATATTGATTAACTTAAATCCTCTTAATGAGCTATTTGAATAATGTAAATTATTTTAGAAATGTATTCAATCTATTTATAATTTAATGAAATATCATCATTATTACTACTTAATTAATAAATAATTGTATTTAAATCCTTTTCTGCTCTTGGATCTATTTAAGTATTACAGGATATATAATTATTCCATTCATCAAATTCTAAACATTTCTTTTTATATTCATGTATTTCTTTATCCCAAATCATTTCTATTTAAACTCTATCATTTTCTTCATTTTTTAATCTATCTCTTTCTTCTTAAGTCATTTTTTCCCATTATTATCTTTGAAATTCTTCCAGATCTCTAATTCTCTTCTATTCTTCCTCTAGTAATTTTTATTCTTCTTAATTATCTAATTCTATATAAAATAGGATATATCTTTACATTATATATTCTTTTGATTCTTTTTCTTCTTTTTAGGTTTTACTTATTTTTTATTATCTACAGAATGTTTTCTATGTTTATCAGCTGTTGTGTTTCTATAAACAGGAGGGTTTTAAATTGCAATTCTAGGTTAAGTGAGCTATTAAGTAGCTTCTTTACTAGAAGATCTTATTCTTGGTTTCAATAATGTTTTCTTTTTGTCATCTTTGTTTGAGTAATTTTGAATATTCATTATATAAAATGATTTATATTATAAACTTAATTGTAAGTTTGGCATTTACTTGGATTACATATTTTGTATACAATGCAAGAATAATGAAATATGAAAGATTTACAGAATCCTTTATTACCTTTATAAAAAGATTTCTATTTTATTCTGCTTTTGTATTAGTTATTCCTTTGCTTTTCATTAATGCTGTTGAATTACAACATCATAAATACTTAAAAGATCATAATTATTCTAAAATTATTAGGTAAATTGATCAATTACCTAATGAATAAAGAGAATCAATTACTGCATATCTAAATAATGAATTTTCAATTCAATATAAAATTTTATTTTTGATTCCATTACTATTCATTGCTAAAGAATTATAAGAAATATATGATAAAGAATTTGATGACACATAAAAAAACTAACTTAATTCAAGTAATAATTTACCTCCACCTCCAATTTTATAACCTAAAGTTATCTCAGAATATGTTCCTGAAAAAAATGAGGAAATATTACGAATTGAAAGTTATTATAGAAATTAAAATCATTTTGATTAAATTAAAAATAGTTAAGAAGTCTAAAATAGTAATAGTAAATTTGATTAATCAGATTTAATCAATAAATTATAGTTTGTAATTTATTATGTTATTTTAGACAATAGATAGCAGATAAAATTAAGTTGTTTAATCAGAATATAGCAATAAATAATTAGCCAGAGCTAGACATTTAGGAAAGGATAATGAATAAAATAATGAATCTCCTTAATTTAAACCTGCCAGAACTCAAACTATTAAAGACTTTTCATTTACATAACATACATAAAATACTTAAAATAAAGTTGATAATCAAATCACTACCAAAATATATCTACTTTTGACTGAAATCGCAATTCTAAAATCATGCTTTGGCTATCTTGTTGGTGTCTAAGAAAGAATTTCAATTGCAATAATCATAATAGCTTTATCATCATTATTAGATATTATTTTATTTAGTGATTGGATGCTATTCAGTAATCTTATTAATATATTAAAGTCACTAAGCCTTCAATGGTAACTTATTTGATGTTACTCTATATACTATTTTTTATATCTATGATTATTGGAATATATGCTTACGAAATATTAATAAAAGTTTGTTATTGCATTCTATTTATGTATAGCTTAAGATCATTTTTTAAATTAATAGAATTTTAAACCATTAAGTCAACTTTAATCTAATCGGGAATTTCTCTTTTTATTTTGATAGTTATTAAATTTATGTTTTCTATATGGTGACATAAATGAATATTATTTTTTACTCTAAAATTTTTATATTTATTTGAGTATAAGATTAAAATGTCAAATTTAATCATTCTTTTTTTTAATTCATTTAGTTTTCATTCAAAAATTTATATTATATATATATATATATATTAATAATTTATAAATAAATTATATAATTAAAATTGTTACTAATTATTTTAGTTACTGATATTCTTTAAAAATTATCCAAATTAAAAGAATATATATTAAATATTTAATCTACTAATTTTAAAGAAGTATCATAATTATAATTATATAATATAGAAATTTTGATCATTCTTCTACTTTGGCTTATTTTGTTCTATTTTTTCTACGTAAATACTTTTCAGGATTTAAATGAAATACTTTAAAACATTTTGTTGTGCAAAGTGTTATATTTATTTTATAATGTTTTTTACAAGCTTCACAAACAAAACTTGACTTTCTAACTTTCTTATTATTTTTTTGACATACTTTACATCTAAAATAAATTATAATAAATAATATACTTTTAACTATTTTCTCCTTTTTTTGGGAAATGACAATACTTTTCTTATTGAAATATAGTTAAATCAGTTTAAACTATTTACAAGTATTCATTAATTTTTAACTTTTATTAATTAAATGTCCTCCTTAAAAGTGCATTTTATCTATATAATTTAAGTTTTGCTATCATTAAGACTGAGTCTAAACAAGTATAGCGAGATAAATTCATTATTAGTTATGCTAAATACTCTATTTAATCTGGTACATCTTATATAAAAGTAATATCTGTAATTAAATTTACAAAATTAAAAGATCTTACTTGTGACTCACATAATTCTAAATTTAATTTAAACTATTAGTGAATCTCTTATATTTGCGTAATTTATTTAATTATAAATTCTTCATAAATCTCTTGATTTCTAATCAAATTACGCTCTATCTTTAGTAATGCCAATTATTAAAATGAAATTTAAATTCCAAGATAATCTTTTGAAAATTGAAGTGTTTCTTTATTTTCCATCCAAATTATGATTTTGCTCTTGGGGAAAGGAAATTCAAGTAATTTATAGGCCTCCTATTTTATTTAAATGTTATCAAATTCATTCAACGAGGCATAATTTATAAAATGAATAATTGTTTCTTAGTTTTTAGTTAGAATCTACAATAAAAAGTCTTAAACTTTCATGAAATAATGATATAAGTCTTTAACCATCTCTTCTACTTTATAGTGTTGTTGTTAAATAATAATTAATGAATTGGAATCATATGCAAAAAAAAATATTGTTTTATTATCTGAAGTATATCTTTAGAAAACTATAATTGTTGAGTATCTATTCGTTTCTTATGAATAATTCTATGCTAATTATACTTCTGATTACGATGCTAATATCTAATATAATTAAAAAGTAATTGTTTCCATTTTATTAGCAATAGACATTTAATATTTAATAATAATATTCCCTCTTATTAACCAAATTTAAACTTTTGAATAAATTTACAATATTTGTTTAAGAGAAGTTAATATTTAATCTTTTTGCTTTACTTTCGAATCACAGGTATTTTGGATTAAATTTCATTTAATATTAAAATTCTATTCAATGTATTGCATATTAATGCCATATTAAGCATGGTTATAAATATTTTCATTATTAAATACCTCTTTTATTATTTTAAACTGTTTTAACCATAAAGTCAGATTCTATCTAATCATCATAATCATTATAAAACATTAAAAACCTGAATTGAATTCAATAAATTCATTATATTCCTATTTTATCAACATATCATTTGACCTTTCAACTAAAAGTAAGGAGTCATTTTCTTTTTCATCATTATAATCATTTATTATTAATAACCTATCATTTATAGGTAATTAATTGATTCTTTAACTTATTAAGTTAAAAACATCCCCAAACTAATTTTTCATTTATAAACCAAAAAAGCTTCTATTTTTTTCTTCTAAAGTATTAATACTAATATTTTTTTTATATTGATATATTAATTTATGATCAAATTGAATTTTATAATCCTATTGCTTATTAACATTCATTTAATTACTAAAAGTTAATATTTATTTCAGTGTAAATAGATATAATAAGAAGGCTTTATGCATCAAAGTTGCTATCCTCAAAGATTTATCTCTTTTTAATATTTATTTAATCTATTAATTATTTTTGTTATAGAAATATATTGATTTAAGAAAAGCTGTTAGATTACATAAATTTTTCGCATCAAACAAAACCTTATCAAACTAGATCCTGTGATGTAAATCACTCAGTTATTTGAGAAGTTTGCCTTCAAATGAATTTATAATATTGTAACTATTTTTTTTGTAAAAAATTCTATTTATTTGTACTGATTACATAACTTAATTAAAGTAATATACTTAAAAATGAACTAATTATTTGGAAGGATTAATAAATATAAAAAAAAGAAAGCAAGAGAAAAGAAAGAAAGAGAAAAAGAAATAACTCAATTTGACCAACTATCAAGTTCAAACTTCAATTATTGAGGCTTAAATCATTCAAGTTGAATGAATAATAATTAATCTTTATGAATTGATTGGGGATAGTTTTATAAAGCTATCCCTAGTCAATTTATTGAGATCTAGTTAGAAATCTCAATAAAACAATAATCAGAGTATTTCAATTTAAAGAAATACTTATTAAATATTGACTAAATAAACAAATAATTATTTATGGATAATGAAGCAATTATAATCAACAATTATACATCATTATTATATTAATATTAGGAAGAGGCCATCTCTCTAATATAAATCAAATAATATATATATTTGTTTGATTATAATTTTAAAAGGATTTCTATGAAAATTATCCTATTATATATTTAGAACCTTAAAAAATCATTATAAATATATATTTCTAAGATTATAAGTTTTGACATGATAATTTCATAATGTTTGATATAACTAACAAATAATGTATGTATATTTTGTAAATAAATCCTCACTTATTTATAAAATCTTAATAGGCATTTTAGTTTGATTTCCCTGCAATTAGTTCAATAAGAAAAATAAATAAATACTTATTGTTAATTTTCTCATTAAACATTATAAAAACTTAATTAAACGTGTTTATTAATTATTTAATGTATTACATAATTGCTATACTTGTACTAGTTTTAGCTATTGCTTTTTATTTTAAATCAAAAAGGACATCTGGAGTTTAAACAGCTAATGCTAATAATTCTATAATTTTTATAGTTGGAGATAAAAATGCAGGAAAAACATCCTTGTTGTATTGTGTATATATTATATATAAAAGAATAGCTTTCAAACTAAAATTCATCAATTTAAACAACAAATTCAATTGAGCCAAATTAAACAGAATTAGCTAAGCCAAATAATTAAAGTGTGATTGTAGTAGATGTGCCAGGAAATAATTATCAAAAAGAATAATTTTTGAATAAAATACAAGAAGCTAAGAAGATAATATTAGTTACTGATTCATCTGAAACTTCTTAAATAGGAGCAACAGCTGCTATCTTATATAACATTTTAATTTCGATTCCATTTTAAAAATCAAAAATCCCAATATTAATAGTATTGAATAAATAAGATAAAGAGAAAGCATATAAGGCACCTGATTTTGAGATGTTTTTATCTAGAGAAATGTAAAATATAAATTTATTTAAAAATAGAGAAAAAATTAAGAAATCAAGAAAAGCAGTACAAGAATAGAGAGAGAATACCAATGATAGAATAAGAGTAAAATATATATTAAATTATTATATTAGTTTTAAGAGAATTAATTTGACATTAATGAGTATCCTACCATAAAAATAGTAGAATAAAGTGTTAAAGATTGTAATATCTAAGAAGTCTAAAAGTTTATATTTAATTGAAGATTATTTTATATATCAAATGCATTTAAAACTTATATTTATAAAAAATATATGAATAAATTATAAGGATAATTTCATAAATAAAATGAACATTCTTAATAAAGAGGTTATTGTAAAGGTTTTTGATTTTTATTGCAAACAGCAATATGTACAAGGATAACATGCTACATTTGAAAGACAATAATATGAAGCTTCAATATTTACAGTTGGAAAATGGATGCATTTTTGTAAAGATTTTCAAATTAAAGCAAAAAATTAGAGAATATTAGAACTATTTAAGAAATATGCTAAAAACTAAAAGGAATTAAATTATGATTAATTTATATAACTCTTAAATATGTTAGCAATAGAGGAAGGTTAAGACTAAGAATAATTTATTGTAAGTTTAGGTTTGGATAATTGGAAACTGTGTTAATAAAAAATGAAACCTTTTTAGAAACCTTTTTAAATGAGAGATAAAGATGAGAGAATAAAAGAAGTTAAGTATGAATATAAGATATTTCATCCAGATGTTAAAGATGATGAGTAGATTAAATAAATTTTATTGTAAAGAAAAGAATAAAATGAATATTAGAAATAGATAGAAAGAGAAAAAAAAGCATTTAATAAATTATAGTTTGAACTAAAGCATTCAACAAAATCACAGTTAATTGAAAAATATCCAAATTTAATTCATCTTATTGAAAGACTCCCAAATCCTTCTAAACCTACAACCTGTTCTTATATGAATAGATCAAAAATTAAATCTTAGCATGTTTTAGAATAAAAGAAATCAGGTTTAACTTGGGAAAGTTTGAATAATTTACCAATAGCTTAAGATTTTGTGAGAAATTTAGTGGATGATGAAGAGGATTAATTTTTATAAGAATATTAATTAAATAGTAAATAGGTTAGTGTAAATCGATATTAACCATAAATAATTTAGAAAAT